CAACTGTGATACGTGTGATTATCCGATTCGTGTGTGTCTCCCTTTCTGGTCCACAAGTTCCGTGAGGACAAGGTTTATCTTAGTCTTGCACACTGCTTGACATGGAGTCATGACACTGAGGGAGGCAAGGAAGGGAGGGAGGCAAGGACGGGTGAGGGGGAAGGATGAAAGGGGTAAGGAGAGAGGGGGAGAAGTCCATTTTTATGAGGGACACTGTGGGTCCAGGTGACAGCACACTATCCGTCTGGGAAGTCAGTCTCACTGTTCATACAAGGAGCACTGTAAGCCAGACAGTGAAACCAGCTGAAGGTGCGGACGCCCAGGCACCTGGAGGTCGGTCCCTCGGGGCTACATCCGGAGCCGGCGGCCCAGGCAAGGCGGAATTATCCGGCAGGACAGCAGTGGTGTGTGTGACAGATCACTGGCCAGGGTGGCAGAGCCCGGCAGGGTCTGTCAGGAAAGCAGCAACATAATTCCAGCAAGGACTTATTCCTGTATTCTCAATAGTCTGAGGCCGGGGGTACCGGACACACCAGGACCTGTTTGTAGACTCAGGTGGTTATCGCTAAAGACATGTGAAAACACCCCAAGACTAAAACCAAACACAAGTTATCAAAATGGTAATGAACTTAATGGCTGTGACATTTCCCCCTCTAAATTCATAATTAAATGCACATAACAGGAAAAATGTGTCTCATTTAGAAAAGTATTATTTTCTTCTATCAGATGCTGAGATCTTCTCATCTACTGTTTCTGCCTTCTCCCCGGTTCTAAGAACTCGAGGGCCGTGTTCACCCACAGCAGTTTCAGTGTAGTGGTCTAGACAGCTGCTTTCTCCTCGTTCTGCAGGGCCAAGGGCCACAGGAAAAACAAAATCCTCTACTCACAATCTTGTCTACCTCTGTTGACATGAATCTTTACAAGTTCATTTTCTTCTTTTAAGATAGAGTGGGAGGAAGAGAAACATCAATGTGAGACACATTGACCAGCTTCCCCCTGCACAACTCTGACCAGGGCCAGGGACCGAGCTGTAACTGAGGTTCGTGTCCTTGACCAGAATCGAACCTGCGACTCTGGTCTGCAGGCTGAAACCCTAATCAGCCAGGGCACAAGTTCGTTTTTAAATGCACACCACCCTTCCTATATTACCCACATTGTCTTGTGCGTGTGAATTCCTTTTTCAACAAGACCAGGGATTTTGGGTTTTGTTTTTTTGTTAATCCTCACCTGAGGATATTTTTCCATTTATCTTCAAATAGAGTGGGAAGGAGGGAGGGAGGGAGAGAAAGAAACATTGATGTGACAGAGACAGAGTGATTGGTTGCCTCCCGGACGACCCTGACCAGGGCTGGGGATGAACCACAACCGAGGTATGTGCTCTTGGCCAGAATGGAACCCAAGACTCTTTGGTTCGCGGGCCAACACTCTAACCAGCTGAGCCAACCAGCCAGGGCTAGACCAGGGATTCTCCACGAGGGGCATAAAGAAGAGAGAAGGGATTAGGTGAAAGGATGACCCCGCTGGTGTGGCTCAGTGGCCTGGGCATCGTCCCATGGACGGAGAAGTCCTGGTTCGATTCCAGTCAGGGCACATGTTTGGGTTGTGAGCTCCATCCCCAGTAGGAGGCAGCCAATCAATATTCCTCTCTCTCCCCAAAATAATTAAAAACACATTTTAAAAAAGATGAAAGGATGCCCCGGCCGGTTTTGCTCAGCGGTTAGAGCATCGGCCTGCGGTCCTGAGAGACCCAGGTTCGGTTCCCGCTAAGGGCATGTACCTCGGTTGCAGTTTGACCCCGGCCCTGGTTGATCGTGCAGGTGGAAGCCACTCGATGTGTCCCTTCACATCGATGTTTCTCTCTCTCTCTGTTCCTCTCTCTCCCTCCCACTCTACCTGAACAAAAAATGGAAAAATGTCCTCGGGTGAGGATTGAAAAAAAAAAAAAGATGAAAGGATGGCTCACACCTCAGAACCACCTTCCTAAACGACACAGGGCAGCTTACCTGTGCCCTCTCAGACCATGAGCGGCACGGTCATCGTGAGGTGATATACCCACGGTAGCTGTTACACCCCGGAGGGGAGTTAGGAGGCAATGAGAATTAATAACTAGTGATAAAGATCATATTTTCACTAAAAGGTGAAGTTTGGAATCAGAAGCTTGTCAGTATCAATCCTGGATCTAACAATTACCTTAAATTCCTTATTCTCAAATAAATCTTTAGGCCTTACTTTCCAAGTAGACGCAGGAGTTCCTTCACAGTGTGGGGTTTCTCAACCTCGGCACCAATGACATTTCGAACTAGATCATTCGTTTAAAAAACTTTTTTATTATAGTTGATATTTAATATTATTTTACATTAGCTTCAGATATACAGCATACTGGTTAGACAATTATATAACTTACAAAGTAATCCCCCTGATAATCCAAGTACCAACCTGGCACCATACGTAGTTATTACAATATTATTGACTATATTCCCTATGCTGTACTTTACATCCCTGTGACCATTTTGTAACTGCCAATTTGTACTTCTTAATCCCGTCACCCTTTTTCTTGTTAATCCTCACCCGAGGATATTTTTCCACTGATTTTTAGATAGAGCGAAAGGAGGGAAAGAGAAAGAGAAACACAGATGGGAGAGAGATGCATCGATAGGTTCCTTCCTGCACAACCCCAACTGGGGCCAGGGGTCGAACCTGCAACCCAGGTATGTGCCCTTGACTGGGAATCAAACCCTCAACCCTTTGGTCCGAGGGCCGATGCTCTAACTGCTGAGCCAAGCCGGCCAGGACTCCCTTCACCTTTTCCATCTAGCTCCCCTCCCCCCCGCCCCCCCGGCAACCATCAGTTTGTCCTCTGCATCTATGAGTATGTTTGTTTTGTTTGTTCTTTTATTTAGTTATTTAGATACCACATAAGTGAAATCATATGGTATTTGTCTTTCTCTGTCTGGCTTATTTAACTTAGCATAACACTCTCAAGGTCCATCCATGTTGTTGCAAATGGTAAGATTTCATTCTTTTCTTATGGCTGAGTAATATTCCATTGTATATATGCACCACAACTTTTTAATAAACTGCCTAATTCTTTACTGTGGGGTGTTATGCGCTAAGATGTGGGTCCCCCCAACACCACTCATATGAAGTCCTAACCCACAGCACCTCAGATGTGAATGTGTTTGAACACAGGGTCTTTAAAGTGGTAACTGGGAGAAAGTGAGGCCATGTGGATGGGCCCTGATCCAGTGTGACTGGTGTCCCTATAAAAGGAGATCAGGGCGCAGATGTGAGAACAGAGAGGACACAGTGAGAGGGTGGCCGACCGCAAGCCAAGGGGAGAGCTCTCAGAAGAAACCAGCCCTACCGACGACGTGACCTTGGACTGCTACCCTCCACAACTGTGAGGGGGAAATGTCTCGTTTAAGCCACGCAGCCTGTGGCACTTTGTTGGGGCAGCCCAGCAAACACTTCGTTGGGGTCGTACCCACTGATACCTGTGGAACTCTCCCAGCTGGGGTGGTGACAGCCAAAATGTCTCCATGATATTGCCAAATGTCCCCCAAGGAGCAAAATCTTCCTGCCCTCCCCACCGAGAACCAGTGTTTCGGATGGCCTCTGTCACAGCAGCATTGCCTGTGCTCAGCACGGTGACTGCTACTTAACTAGGTAGATAATCAAATATTACCTGAATGAATTCATTTGCCTGGCTCCCTGTTTTGGGTCTTGCTCCCTTGCAAACTCCTTTTGCTGCAATCATAGTAGTAATTACTTCCAGTTTAATTTATAGCGGACTGTGTACTTCTAAATGAAACAAGCAGTCTTCATTTTAGCATCATTTCTGGAAACTCAAGACGTAAACATCACATCGATGTTAAACCCTGCGTTGACACTGCTCACTCACTGCCCCCCAGACCCTCTGACACATTCAGTGGGTGCTGCTGCTTTGAGTTTCCCTGATGCACCACCCACGGTGTTAGATGACATGACTATGACAGATTCTTATATAACCATTTGAAACTCAGGGAATTCATAAAGAAAACAAATGGCCATTTAAGTGTTAAAGTGCTTAACTATAAGACTCCACACATTGCCCAGAAACCCGAGAGCGGACCAAAATGCCAAAGTGCAAGCAGACACTCTCTGGAAAGCAGAAGTCACAAACATCCTGGCACATTCATAAATTCACTGTCTTAACATCGCTGCATTTGCGATCGTTATTGGAAAGCTGATGTGTTTGGGATGGGTGGTGGCAGGGTGAAGACTGGCTCTGAAATGCCAAAGAGAGGCATGAGGAACTCTGGGAGGAACTGGGGCTGGTGCACATTTCACACAGAAATCATTGCTGACCAACCCTTCAGATAATTTGTAGCTTATACTCAACCATTCACAAGATACTGTTTCAAGCACATGATTTTAAATTGATACAGAGTCTATTCATTTACAAAATCTATTTATTGCAGCATTCTTTTTTTGTTGTTGTTAATCCTCACCCAACGACACTTTTTCCACTGATTTTTAGAGTGGGAGGGAGGGAGAGAAATACTGATGTGAGAGAGACACATCAATTGATTGCTTCCCACTAGCACACCAACTGGGGCCGGGGATCAAAAGTGCAACCCAGGTATGAGCCCTTAACTGAGAATTGAACCCATGACCCTTTAGTGCACGAGCCAACTCTCTAACCATTGAGCAACACTGGCTAGGGTACAAAGTTCTTTTTTAGGGGATTCAAAGTATTATCTGCTTTACCGAAGTGAAAAGACTAACAATAATCATTTTCCATTGCCATCTCTGAAGACTATGCCCAATGTTTTTAATTTACTGTTTGTGACTTTACATTACAATACTAACATCTAAGTAACAAGTGACTACTTTAAACTTGGGCAGCAGCCATCACTAGCTATATGACAGGCATGTTGGCATTCAGGCTCACACGCGCACACTGCACACACGCACACACACGGAGGAGGTGACACACACCAAGGATGTGAGCTACGCCATACTGCTCTTCTAAAAGAGAGGACTTCACTCCTCCACTGCTCCTGTGGTAAGAGGCTGAAAACCCTTTCTGACGTTGGTTTCTCCATGGAAGAGAAGGAGGACAGCTTAAGGACACTCTAAAATTTAAACAAAATCAAACAAAAAACCTTTGTGAGAAAGTCTGTGTACTGTACAAAGCTGGTAGACACACGAAGTCAGTATTTTCAGAGAGATTTCCTAGAGGCAGAAGGTAACTGACCAAATGAGGATGTTTTGTTACTTTTTTCCCAAAGGCAGAAAAGAATGAAAAGTCAGTTTAAAATAATATTTAGAATTGAACACCCTTATTTGGGCATTTATGAGTATGAAATCTATACGGCAACTAGAAGGACTGCACTCGGATCGCTGCACTGGAAAGGGCCCCAAAGCCCACGCTAATTCCTATTCCGCTTATTTCTCGGCTCCGGCTCAGCACTTGCTGGTCTTGTGCGGCGGTTCTGTCTTGGACTTATGTCTGTGTCTTGAAGATCGTTTCTGAAAACAGTAAACAAGAATTAGCACAGAAAGGAACGGTCATTATTATTCCGCAGCAGTTTCTAGTTCACAAGTGCTTTCACAGGCATTTTCACATAAACCCCCAAACGGCCCTCCACTCCACTGACAAACCTGTTAAAATCATGTCATCATTATCGTCCTCCTCATCATCACCCCACTTTACAACCAAGAAAACTGATTAGCAAAGATCAGACGTAGTTGAGCCAGGAATTGAACCCCTTTCTTCTGAATCAAAATCTAACAGTTTGATGCTTCTACTTGACATGTAGAAAGCTGGACAACAACAACAACAAAAAACTGCTCCCATCCTAATAACAAGACAAAGCCAGAGAGTCTAAAATAATCACAACTTTTCTTGATCCTATCAGAGAGCTGAGGCTGTAAGGCAAACCAAAAAAACAAATTTCCGAAGAAAGATAAGCCCCTCCAGAGAGATGGGCCGCACGAATTCGTTCACTGTTGGCAGAGCACTGGAGAAGGAGGCGGCTGTCAACATTTCTTTCCTTTTTACTGAATGTGTTGGGGTGACACTGGTTAACAAAATTATACAGGTTTCAGGTACACGATTCTGCAACGCATCATCTGCACACTGCACTGTGTTGTCACCACCCCCCCCCCCCCCCCCCCCCGGTCGAGTCTCCTCCCATCACCTGTATCCGCCCACACCCTCCTCCCCCAGCAAGCCCCCCACCCCCGGCAGCTGGCAGCCTCCGGCAGCCTGCTCTCTGAGTCTGTCACTATGTTGCTGTTGGTCCAGTTTCATGAGCATGACCAGTGACGAAGGCCCTGCCACAGGGGAGTCCACGAGCACTTGCGAGCATTTTCCAGACACTTCCATCAGGTGCTCGGGAGAAAAACAGGGAGCAAGGCAGGAAGACTGAAGAGAGCCCACTTTGGTGGCACAGGTATAAACAGGCGACTGGAGGTGACGGGACAGGTAGGAAGCCTGCCTCTTCCCGGGCCCTGTCTACTAGGAACCAAAGCTTTACACTGCTGAGGGACGAGCAGGCCCAGACCCACGCCTCTGGGGAGGGAGCACAGGTCAAGTCTGCCTGCCTGAGAGGGAAGGACAGGACACTATTTGCAAGAACACAGTCAGAGAGTCATTACTGCTGGGCAAATAGTCGGAACAAAAACCTCTACCTCTGGAGGAGGGGCACAAAACCACCTTGGGCCAATGTCCTTGCACAACATCGACAGGGGGCTGGTGGCGGCAGTCTGACTACTGGGAGGAGGGGACAGTGCTGGGAAAGCCCTATCCATGAGACCAGGCACACAGGGGCTGGCCAAGACAACAGAGAACCTCCATCGCCCGGGCCCAGCACCAAGGAATGAGCAGGAGCAGTGAACAACCAGCGGAGAGGTGCAGACATGGAGAAGAGATGCCCCTCTGGGCTGCTGGCATGCAGAGATGACTGAGAAGTACACGGGAGCAAAATCAGTGAGCAAAACCCTCCGACAATCCTGCACAATAAGCACAAGGCAAAAGCAGCCCATGCTAAGAGGAACTGGATGCCCCCGATGCACTGAAGGTCAAGTTGGTAACAAGAAAACTCTGACCTGGGTCAACTCCCCCCACAATGGCCTGACAGAACAGCATGCCTGTTCCCAGGTGTAAACACCACTGACCTCATTCCCTCTGCTCCTTCACAGTATGTCTAGCATTCAAGCAAAATGTATATGATACACAAACAAACAAACAAACATACAGAATCCATTGTCAAAAAGACAGACAGAATGACCTACATGTTAGAACAGCAAGACCAGGACCTTAAGCAGCTATGATTAGGCTACTAGAAGCTTGCAGGGTGGTTCTGAAAGACGAAGATAATTCCCATCCCTCTCTCCACACCTCTCAGAGTTGAGAGGTTCCCTCCCCAGCTGTCGGCATTGGCCTTTCTTAACCTCCAGAAAAGCAGTGTGTTCTCTTCCATTAGCAATCACTTTACCTTGTGTTTCAATCATCCTCTACTCACATCCAGTCCTTTGACTCAGAAGGGTCAAGTGCAAGAGGAATAAGGGCATTTTTACAAAACTTACAAAGACTCATGTTCCCCACTTTGACCCATCTGGGCCATGGCCAGTGAGCAGTGTACACAGACGCGTGGTCATTAGCCTTTTGATCTAGGGCAGGCGTTGGCAAAGGGCCAGATATTTGGGGTGTTGAGGGCCATGCAGTGCCTGTCGCAACTATTCAGTTCTGCTGCTATAACATAAAAGAAGACACAGACACAGACAAACAAAGGTGTATGGCTGTGTTCCAATAAAACTATTAATAAAAACAGACCAGATTTGGCCCAGGGGCCCTAGTTGGCCAACCATGTCAATCCAACAAGAAAACCCAGGTGGCTAAACCAGAATTAAATTTGATTCTTCTAGGACCCGCCTAAGCTAAGCTGCCAGTTGGAGTGTACCAATCTGGACACGACAGTTGGTTGCTATTATGAGAAAGAAAGAAGCATAATGCTCAGCAATAGTCATGAAGGAATCCTGAGTTTTTTTAAAAGGTCAATATAACCCCAGCACCCTTTTTGTCCCAATCATTCCCCAGAAAGTGACCAAAAGGAGATGATCCCTTTCTGGGGACAGCAGCATTCAGTAACCAAACTGCCTTACTAAGGTGTGTAACCAGGAGGTGAGGGAGTTGATTTTTTCAAAGAGGTCATTCTTTAAAATGACCGGTAATACTAGATGCCTGTTGACTGTAGGGAGGGTAAAGAATAAAAAGTCCATCAAATCCCTTGGCCATCAGCCCTCTGTTGGTAGCAGTCAATCTCTTTGGATAATGGACCTTACTACCGGTATCTACACGAGTGACCCAAATGGTCTGATCAGCACTCTAGGTTAACAGACCCACACTGGGCGGGGGGCTGAATCTGCCAATGGTGACCTTTCTGAACACTCTTATGACCTAATTTAACCATATTCACCTCCTTAAAGACCATGTCTCCAAATACAGTCAGATTTGGGGTTAGAGTTTCAATATAAGAATTTTATGGGAACACATTTCAGTCCATTACAGACTCCATGATTCAGGCATTCAGTTTTGACAAAAGCCTAGTAGCAAACTAACAGCTGTCATTCAAAAGGGGTATACTTGGTAGCTATGCTAGAATGGAGACAAGTCTAAAACCTCATAGAGTGCTTCCCTTCATAGAGGCCCCAATCAGGAACATCATTAGTCATAAATACTTCTAGCTCAAATGGGTCATCAGGGTGTGGGAACTCAAAGGTATTAGCACTTTTCTATGGGTGGCGCGTCCCTATCAGAAAACTGGCACCTATGGATGGGGAATTGTAAGTATATAACATGCCAATTTCTACACACACTCAGATGTAGGAGCATACAGTACACTAAATTAGCCCAAAAGGTCCCACCTACAAGTTTCCCCTTCCCACTGTGAACCCTGCCCAAACCCCATAAAATCAATTCACGTGCTTCCTCACCACATAGGACAGGGTGGGACGGCAAATCGAATACCTATATCCAACAGAACCATGAAAGTCTGAGTCCCTCCCTTCCCAAAGTTCAATAGCAGGCCCAGACTGTGCAGATAGCCTTTCATAGCCCGTAGGAACAGAGACCTCGGCTACACACCAAGCAACAAAGCTAGACTACCCAAAACAATTCTGCAAAAGAAAAATTTACACTGATAACATCCAATGCTGGTGAGGATGGGGAGCAAGAAAAACTCTCACTCACTGCTGGTGGGAATGCAAAATAATGGTGCAGCCACTGTGGAAGGAAGTTTGTTTCTTACAAAACTAAATGTGCTCTTACACGATTCAGCAATTGCACCCCTTGGTGTTTACCTAAATTAATGGAGAATTTATATCCATACATACCCTGCATTTTGTTCATAATTATAATAATATATATATAGCACTTTATTCATAATTGCCAAAACTTGGAAGCAGCCAAGATATCCTTCAATAGGAGAATGGATAAATGAACTGAACTAATTCATACAATGAAATATATATAGCACTAAAACAATGCTGTATTTGGGGCAACCTCAAAAGAATATTACTAAGGGGAAGAAGCCAATCTGAAGAGACTGCATACTGTATAATTCCAACATTCTGAAAAAGGCAAAACTATGGAGACAGGGAGGGGTGAAGAGGCGGAACGCAAAGGATTTTTAGGATAGAGAAACTATTCTATATGATACTATAATAGTGGATACATTATATATTTGCCCAAACCCATAAAATACACAACACAAAGAGTAAACCCTAACATTAACTGAAAAAGAAAAGTCAGAAGCCTCACACCAGCTGATTTCAAGACTTGTTATAAACCTGTAGTAATCAAGACAATGTGTTATTAGTGAAAAGACAGACATTCGGTATCAATGGAATAGAACAGTGATTCCAGAATAGACCCCTACACATGTATTCAGGCAATCTTCGGTCAGGGTACCGAGGCAGAGAGGACATTTCCTTCCATAAACAGTGCCTGAACAACTGGAGACCCGTATGTAGAACAGAAAAAAATGAACCTCAATCCACATCTTGCACCATTTACAAAAATTAACTTCAAATAGGTCACAGACCTAAATGTAAAACCTAAAATTTCTAGAACATAAGAGAAAATCTTTGTGACCTTGGATTAGGTAAACACTTCCTAGGTAGGTCACAAAAAGCACAAACTACAAAAGAAAAAACTGATGTTAGATTTCATTAAAATTAAAAACTGCTCTTAGAAAAATACTATCAAGAAAATAAAAAGACAAGTCACTGAGTGGAAGAAAATATCTGCAAAACACATAGCTGAACTCTCAAATCTCTATAATAAAAAACCTCAATTTACAAAAATGGCAAAAGATTTGAGGAGGCATTTCATCAAAAGACCTAAGGATGGCAAAATATGCACATGAAAGGAAGTTCAACATCACTAATCCTTAAGGAGATGCAAATTAAAATGACAATAAAATACTACTATATATCTATTAGAATGGTTTAAAAAGACAACAATA